CGCGGGACCGTCGATCTCTCTCGCGGCACAAGCGAAATCAGGAAACTCGCACGAAAATCAGCGCTCGCGCGTTTCCCTTCGAGGCGTCGATAAAACTCGCGCGACGCCGTGTTCAGCACGGAAACACGGGGAGACGACCGTCTCCGGAACTTATCTAGAAACGCCGATAAAATTCATTGAACAGCTTCGTACGAAAAATCGAAGGCCTGACTGGCGCTGGTTGCGAACCGAACGAGCTCGAGGAAAATCGATCGTGCTTTCCCTCGAGCGATTAATTAAACGATAGAATACGTCGCGAGTATGCCACCGAGGGATCCGGACAGATCGATCGACCGGCGTCGCCGATCCATTGGTGTCGGGCGTCGATCGCGAACGTGCTAGAAAAAGGAAAACGATAGAAAAGTTCGCAACAAAGTCACACGGCGATTCGTGTGAAGAAAGCGTGTCGCTCGTTTCAAAGTAACGAAAGAAAGTCTTCTCGTACTATCCTAACGACGGGCAGGCGACAAACATTTCGGCTCGCCGTGCCTTGTTCAGCGACGAACTCGCTCTACTTAAGAAACAACGTGAAACGCGTGCGCTTCTAGTAAACGTAAACCAACGGTACGACCAAGCGACCAGAAAAATTTGATATCTGTTTGCCGCGCGAACGTGTCCATGCGTAGGGCTGCCAACATAGTCGCGCGAACAGTGTCGAGCATCGCTGGCAATCGAATGGAAGAGTTTACGAATAATTTGGTAGAAGAAGCTACCGAAAATTGTACGCGAAGCCTGCGGAAAATTCGTACGGCGTTTATCCCCTAATCAAGCCTTAATTGTAGTAATTAATTGTCGGAAAATACGGTACATGGGTCCGCAAGAACGTGCAAGAACGTGCAACGCTTTCTTTCTAGCTAGATCTCGCAAAATAAGCGCGGAAACGACCGGCGCCGCTCGGAGATTTCAACGCGACGCCGGAGACTTCGACGCATGCACAAGCGGTGTCGCTTCGCGCCGTGTCGCGCCATCAGCGGCGCTACGGACAGTGTTCGGCAAAAGGTAATCCGATTAATGATCAACGATCATAACTCGTTAATTATTATGACTAATTAATAATAATTTATAATAAATTATAATAATTTTTAATAATTTGTCATGACTAATTTATTATAATTTGTCATAACTAACTAATTATAATTTATGGTAACTAATTTATTATAATTTAATATAATTTATTATAATTTATTGGAACTAATTTATAATAACTAATGAGTTTCAATTGTTAATCATTGATCAGATTACTTTTTTGCCCAACTCTGGATACGGACAAGAAATCAACGCTCTCCAGCACTTTTCTCGGATATTTTATCGTTCTGCAAATATATTCCTAACGTTTTACGCATGCATTTCGTGGAGACAACGAATTTATAAACACTTTAACCCTTTAAGTCCCGACGGTGCTTAGCAGCATAGCTTATCTTAGAGTTCTTACGACTACTACTTCTTCCGAGTCTTCTGGGGTGCTGGGAAATTATGTCTACACACAGAGACAGCATACTTAGGAGAAAACAGCCGTTCCTTTCGACTGGCATCGTTGCATTTACTGTCGTCTCTTTTACTAACCCCTTGCACTGCGATTTCTTAACGCTTCCCCCGGAGGGAAAAAATTTCTATTCATCGTACAGGGTGGCCGCTGAAAAACCAAAGAGTTTGAAAAAGTCATAATTTCTTCGTTTCACATCATTCTTATTTTCTTTGTTAATTGTTTGTAAATGGCTATGTCCAGCAATCAGTAAGACTCATCCGGCTTTTCTATTCCAGTGAAAAATCAATAATTAAAATTCAGAGGAAACAACTGGAGTCGGACGTGATACTGAAAAATATCCATTAATTACGTTATCAAACAAAATAATAAGAAATTAAAACAGCATGAATTTGTAGAAGTTATTTTTGCTTCGTATTATTTTATATCATTCGATCCGTCAGTGGCCACCCTGTATATCTTCGATTTAATACTCGAATACTGCCAAGAGAACGATAGAATTCCGTTTGAATGTAAGACGAACTTCAATAACATGCTTTTTCGTGTTAAAAATCTTCGTCGCGAGTCCGACACGATATTACAGTGCAAGGGGTGGAAATGAAAATATCGTGAACGGTTCGGAAAGATATCTACGTTGAAGCATGCAATTTTCGAACAGCCGTCTATCAAAGAATAAGAAAACTCAGGTCTTAAAGGGTTAAACAAAGGGACGTTCGCGGAGTTCGAGACTCAACAGCGGGATTCTCTCGAAGCGAAGTCTTCCGGGTTTGTTGGAAACGGTATCGTCGAACATCTTAATATCTTACAAGCCTATTGTATCGATATTTCAAGAGTAAAAAACGTGAAATTGTGAAAAATCTAAGCGTTAAGTTAACCTTACTGTTATGTTCTTCCAGCAAAAAGGATTTCCAGACAGCGTTTCATTTCGGTTGAATTGGCGGCGTTCTGTTTTTTTTGGGGGGAGATGCGAGTGGTGGCAACCCTAGGCACGCGATCGACGTGGCTACGCGTGTCTGTATTAAATCGACAAATATGTTACAGCAGCAATAATGCCGGTGGGTGCTTCGTAAAAAGAAGAGTAGATCGCTCTTACAAATATATCTTGGTAGATTGAACGCGGTCCTGGTCTGCGCTCGCGCGCGCGGCAGGACTCGTTCGAAAGGCTTCTTACAATATTTACACGTCGACTCGTCGTCTATGTATCTTTCTGCTCTTCCCATCTCAACTCTTCCGTCTCATTACCTCGATCGGAGTTTACCTGTCTCTGTGTCGAGTGATCAGGGTGGAAGTGTTTCTCGCGCGTATTATATACACAAAGTGTACAACCTGATTCTCCTACACGCCGTGTTCAATTACCGATGCGTACGCCTCCGTGTGTCTGTGTCTCTGCGTCAGTGTGCCTGTGGTCTCTGTCTCTCTTTCTGTGTGCGTGTCCGTGTGTGTCCGTGTACCTCGCGAATAGACCCTAATAAAATGTATAAACACATCTACAATCGAAAAAACTTTCAAATATTCCGAGATATTAATTAATCTGATCCCAACCCATCGCCACGCACGTGTTTCATTTCCTCCGATACAGATTCCCTACGGAATTCTAGAATTTATCATGCGATCGTTAGTCTAAGGATAATCGACTAGAGGCGATCCTCCGTTCTCCCCGCTCTAAAGTCGAAGCAAAAACTATCGCTGTTCTCTCGGCCGAATTGTAAAAGAATCGTACACGAGTTGTTCTCTCGGGTCGACGCTGCGTTCTCCGATCGTTCGTTTCTCGTTCACCTCTTCGTCGTCTCGTTGCTCCGAATCCGTGGTCTACCATAATTTCAACAGTTGTTCTCGCGTCCTTGTGTTCTTTTTTCGGACGCTGGCCGCCGATTCACGAGATCGTCTCGCAGCTGGTCGAACGTTTTTTTTCGCCGATCGTACGCTTCTCGTGGGGGTGGGTTTTTGGGGCCCAGGAGGAGTCAGCGCAAAAATTGAGGCCCCAGGGCTCTTTCTTTCTTCCTTTCTTTCTTTCTTTCTTTCTTTCTTTCTTTCTTTCATTTTCACTTCCTTTCTATCTCTGTCACGCGCGCNTATCATTCGATCCGTCAGTGGCCACCCTGTATATCTTCGATTTAATACTCGAATACTGCCAAGAGAACGATAGAATTCCGTTTGAATGTAAGACGAACTTCAATAACATGCTTTTTCGTGTTAAAAATCTTCGTCGCGAGTCCGACACGATATTACAGTGCAAGGGGTGGAAATGAAAATATCGTGAACGGTTCGGAAAGATATCTACGTTGAAGCATGCAATTTTCGAACAGCCGTCTATCAAAGAATAAGAAAACTCAGGTCTTAAAGGGTTAAACAAAGGGACGTTCGCGGAGTTCGAGACTCAACAGCGGGATTCTCTCGAAGCGAAGTCTTCCGGGTTTGTTGGAAACGGTATCGTCGAACATCTTAATATCTTACAAGCCTATTGTATCGATATTTCAAGAGTAAAAAACGTGAAATTGTGAAAAATCTAAGCGTTAAGTTAACCTTACTGTTATGTTCTTCCAGCAAAAAGGATTTCCAGACAGCGTTTCATTTCGGTTGAATTGGCGGCGTTCTGTTTTTTTTGGGGGGAGATGCGAGTGGTGGCAACCCTAGGCACGCGATCGACGTGGCTACGCGTGTCTGTATTAAATCGACAAATATGTTACAGCAGCAATAATGCCGGTGGGTGCTTCGTAAAAAGAAGAGTAGATCGCTCTTACAAATATATCTTGGTAGATTGAACGCGGTCCTGGTCTGCGCTCGCGCGCGCGGCAGGACTCGTTCGAAAGGCTTCTTACAATATTTACACGTCGACTCGTCGTCTATGTATCTTTCTGCTCTTCCCATCTCAACTCTTCCGTCTCATTACCTCGATCGGAGTTTACCTGTCTCTGTGTCGAGTGATCAGGGTGGAAGTGTTTCTCGCGCGTATTATATACACAAAGTGTACAACCTGATTCTCCTACACGCCGTGTTCAATTACCGATGCGTACGCCTCCGTGTGTCTGTGTCTCTGCGTCAGTGTGCCTGTGGTCTCTGTCTCTCTTTCTGTGTGCGTGTCCGTGTGTGTCCGTGTACCTCGCGAATAGACCCTAATAAAATGTATAAACACATCTACAATCGAAAAAACTTTCAAATATTCCGAGATATTAATTAATCTGATCCCAACCCATCGCCACGCACGTGTTTCATTTCCTCCGATACAGATTCCCTACGGAATTCTAGAATTTATCATGCGATCGTTAGTCTAAGGATAATCGACTAGAGGCGATCCTCCGTTCTCCCCGCTCTAAAGTCGAAGCAAAAACTATCGCTGTTCTCTCGGCCGAATTGTAAAAGAATCGTACACGAGTTGTTCTCTCGGGTCGACGCTGCGTTCTCCGATCGTTCGTTTCTCGTTCACCTCTTCGTCGTCTCGTTGCTCCGAATCCGTGGTCTACCATAATTTCAACAGTTGTTCTCGCGTCCTTGTGTTCTTTTTTCGGACGCTGGCCGCCGATTCACGAGATCGTCTCGCAGCTGGTCGAACGTTTTTTTTCGCCGATCGTACGCTTCTCGTGGGGGTGGGTTTTTGGGGCCCAGGAGGAGTCAGCGCAAAAATTGAGGCCCCAGGGCTCTTTCTTTCTTCCTTTCTTTCTTTCTTTCTTTCTTTCTTTCTTTCTTTCATTTTCACTTCCTTTCTATCTCTGTCACGCGCGCATTCACACCGTCTCCCATTCGCCCTTCCATTTGCTCTCGCACACACGCATGCTCTCACAATCTCGCCAGTTTCGAAAGTATAGTACTTTTGTTTGTTCTCACGTGATTATCTCGTGTCTAAACTCATCATCTCTCTCTCGTTCAGCTGGTTCCGCGAATGGGGGTTTATCCTGTGCGTACCGCATTGACAAGGACATTCAATGATCTGTTTTCAACCCGACCATGCGGAATTCCTGTTGGAGAAAAACGTCAGTGAAAGTCTCAAGCGGCTAACATCCGTCGGCTAGGGACGAGCGACGGTGCTCTCGTCGTCGACGTCCGTATAAATAATTCGTACCGGAAAAAAAAGCATCGTTTACTGGTTACGAGACTACTTGACAGTATCTACGGCTCGTAAAATGATCAAGAATCAACTGTGTGTCGAGGAAGATAGAGATCGTCTACGGTTTCTAGATGAAGAGGAAATGTGGGCGCAGACTATGTTCGCTAATTCTTACGTTCCTCCGAAGCTCGTACACGTTGCCCGAGGACAAGTGTACTCGTGGGTAGCGTGCAACCGACTTGAAACAGGTCGAATACAGTACAGATTATGCTCTATCAATCAAATCAGATCCTACGAGAAGAAACAATGGCTTTCGAACAAAGGGGACCAGCTATGGGTCTACTATCGGGAGCTTACGTCAAGGTATCGTGCACGCTTTCGACGGCTAGAACAATTTTAACGCGACCCAATCGCGGCAATCGTGTCAGTTTCCCGGAACGGTAGCGTAAGCACTCCGCGTTCCTGAAAACTTATCCTGTTTCCAGCAACGCGGAGCACGACGAATTCTCCGAACCAGCGATTCTCAACCGTTTGGTGCGCGTACCACCGGTGGTACGTAAAACATTTCCGGCTGAAACGAGCAGAACAAAGTATCCATGCTTGTGTACATACAAATTCATTATGGCAATTCAATTACCGTTTCAACGAGACATTCTAGAATATTTTTTGAAACATTTTTCTATGCAATTTTCTAAAATATTCTGGTACAACCGGGCAGATAATTATGCTACGTGTGAAAATAAGTCGTGAAAAAAGGAATAAGATTTGTTCGTTTATGCCTTTGCGTTCGGGAAAAATTAAATTGAAAAATGAAACTGTTCAACAGGAATTGAGCGGCGCGTCTGACCATGACACGCCAATTCTACTTATCGTCATAGTACAAGTCACGCGAGCTTGCCGCATCTACCAACTCAGTTTTCTCGAAATGAAAATTTATACGAAAAAATGTCGCTCTTCTGTTTCGTCTTATTTTCGTATCTTTTTCATCCTCGCGTTTTAAATTATGTTTTTTGGGGTTTTAATGCTTAAAGCAGAAAATCAATCGAGTGTTTTCTTCGCAATAATTCTACCTAGAATCGTTATCCGACCGGTTCTACCACGATTTTCGGTACACCCTGTATATTCTGCATTCTATCATACACTGCCTATGACATGCGACAAAGATCTCGCTTGCATTCGCACCTACACATTTATATGAAACACGATTTTCTGCGACGACAGCAACGAAGAAAGATCAAAATTAAATCGCGAGTTTGATTCGCGTTCCTAATTAACAAAAATTGAACTTAACGTAATCACGCTGATTTCCCAAATTCAAATTCGACCATCTCATTAAATTCTACAATTTGACTTTCGTTGCACCTTTTATTCCTAGCAAATGAATCCGATTAATCTGAATACTTTTTGTTTGCCCACGTCTCGTAACAGTTATTTTATATATACAAATATGCGACTGAATCACACGACTGATTAGATGACACGCGGGAAGAATGGTTGAGAATCACTGTTCCAAACGATTCACACGATAAGCAACTTCCATCAAATCGGTGCCTCGGACAATGAACAAAGACAATCAACGAAAGTGTTTCAGATTTTCAGAGGAAATTTTTCGCAGAATCTTCCGGTATTGTCAGGCAGCGCGTTCGCTACCGTTTCTCGTAGGTGTTCAGCGTAACGACTCGCTCGTGGGTTACGTGACCAGGTGTAGAACGGTTTTTTTTTTGACAGGTAGCGACAGGAAAGAAACCCCACTAACAGACCAGAGCGACATCTCGCTAGGGTAGCGTAAGCAATTCGTACGTTCTGTAGCGTACCAGGAGGCGACCCCACTAAAGAGCAGTGGTGCGCAGGTGGGGACAGCGCTGTAGCGACAGGCCCCGGGGCCCCAGCTCCTAAATGCCGTTCGATGTGCGCGAGTCCTGCTGCTGGCGACGCCTCGACGCGGTCCCATTGTCGACGCCACCAACGTACGGTTCTTCCTCGGTGCCGTAGTATCTTCTCGATCCCTCGGCCACGTGTGCGCCGCTGTACGAGCCCGATCCTAGATTTCAAACGGTCCTCTTTTAGTCGACACATCGATCACAAAACAGTTCGCAACCGCAGCTTCTGCCGGATTTACGGTCACTCGATCGCGTTCGATTTTGCTCGCAGAAGCTGGGTTCTTCGTTACGTTCGAGAAAAGAAGTGCAAATTCGAAAGACTCTGGCTACTTTCGACTTCTCTCTACTGCTACGCCGACTCTACGAACATAATTGCTGACGCTACCGAATCATTTCTCAACCCTTCCGCGACCATGACAATTCCAAACCGGTCGGAGAGCACAGTGGTACATCCATTGTCCGAATCTATGTTGTTTAATTCTATCTGTCTGAATATCGTTGACGTTTCAACAAGTTTCGTTGCAGAAATTAACCTGTCAGCTGTTTTTGACGAGTGTACTCGTCGTGACATAAAATGTTGGCATATCTTTGTGACGGGTATACTCGTCGAAAATAGCTGACTGGTTAAGGAGGATATATATTTTGATGTTTTTTAATTCAATTATATATTTTTAAATTATTGTGTTCAAACAAAATATGAGAAAAATCGAGTATTTACGATATAATGATAGCTAAGTGGTTAATAAATACTTATTCCAGCACACCTTGCTGGAACTGTTTCATAATTTGAGCATCAATGTTGTCTCGATTAGTTCGGATAACTGAGGTTCCACTGGATAATTACAGTGTGGATAATTACAGGGTCAAAGTAACTTTCACATTTTTAATGATATTTAGACAAAAGCTTGACGAAACATCGTATTCGCATCTTTCTGTATCAGAAATAATAGAAAATAAAAATTTCTTTTTTCCTTTAGATATCAGTAACAATGTAAAAGTTGTTTTGAGTCTATAATTCGCGCACCGCTGTAATTTTTTTTTTAAATGGATATGTTTGTCTCTTAAGCATAGAAGGGTTGAGGAAACTTCATTCATTGATTTTTCAAATAGCCTTTCGAATTTCCTTGTCCCAAGCTCGACGGTCTATCAAGTTCTGTGAAGTCAATGAAACCGCGACAAATGTCTGCACAATTGTTCGAAAAGGAAAAACGTCGAACTTGGGACGCATCGATACACGACAGTATTACTCAAAAAAAAAACTATATTATAAGAGAGTTACTCCGATGGCAAGTTAATAGTCACTGCGAAACGGAAAGGATCAATCGGCCTATCTACGTGTCACGTCTAGGAACACTGAAACAACACCTCACTCAACAGTGCATGCAAGCTAGCTATGCAAAAAAGAAGATGAAAAAAATGGTGAAGAATGAAAAAGAGACACGCTGCAAAGACGTCCGACGTTCGAGCTTCCTTCTGCGCAGAGTGATCGAGAAGCGGAGAAGTTTCACGTCTCGAACGAGTCCATCCCTCGAATGGATCATCTCCGCGGCAAAAAAATCACAACGAACGGGACCTGGGCGATCGTAAAAAGCGACGTCCCAATTCCGATCGAACGATCCTCGTTATACCAATCGATCCAAAACATGTCTCCTCACGACTACATTCGTTTACGTCGAACAAGTTAGAGGCTAGTCTATCAACCTATTCTATGTGAGAAGGGTCGGCGAAGGGCTGGCGAGACTGGCAACAAAAAGAAAAATAAAGAGAACCGAAGACATCGAGGCTCTAGTGAGAAACAAAATTCCAATAAATAGAATGGGCCCCTGACGATCGCGCTGAATGGTGAACGAGTACAGTGTTCACCCCGTATCGCTTCTCTCACTTTTCTCATCCTGATTGACGCTATTTCTATCAAAGGGGTCCAGAGACTCCTTCGACAATTTTAATTTGAAATTATTTTCTAAAGCCATTTTTCCTCAATTGACTTCTCAACATTCTTTACTATTAAGAATAGTGTTATTTCCAATTTGAATGCCCGCATAAAGTTAAGTTAAAGCTAATTCGAAGCTAATTTGAAGCTAATTTGAAGCTAATTTAAAGCTAATTTTTCTTCTATACGAAAATATAGGATTACAAAATGCCACTTTTATTTCTCTTCTGTCAGATATTCTGCGATTCCAATTTAACGCTAGAGCTACCAAACCCGTCGGATCGAGAGCTATCCGACTGATGAAATGATAAACATTTTTTTACGAAAAAGACTGTCGACTGTTTTTTTTAATTTAAGTATATATTATCGTCAAAATTATACGAAAAAATAAATAAATAATTTCGATCATGTCATTCTCACGGCACAACATGTGCAAATCAGTTGCGTTTAGGTCTCGGCGATTCTAGTGTTAAACGTGCGTAAGCGCATCGAATATTTTCCACAGAGATACGTTTATAACCTCAGCAATTATGCAACGCGAATTGACGTCGTATCGACGTCGAGCAACGAGATACATCGTCGACGAAATGCATCGTATCGACGTCGATAAATGAAACGAATTACGATCGATTCTATGCGAATGAGAATTCAGTGTGAAAATTGCGAGACGCGCAGGGGTGAACGTTGCACAGCGGAGGGTTTTAGGCGTTCAACAAAGTAACCAGAAACATAAATCCGTCTGCGTTTGGTGAAGAGAAACAGGTAGGATCCCGTTCACCGGGCCCATGCACCAAACCCGTCAGTACTTACTACGCGGCCCCAGAAAGTAGGTATCCCTATTTACACAGTCTCTAATTCTCAGAACCTCACCTCCCCCCTGTGACAAGGGGAGGACCCCTGTACAATATCAGCGGGGGTGTCTACGCCGTGAAATCTCATCCGCGGCGAGGATGTGGGAGGAGCGGAAGAAGCCGGTCGTTCTTAGCGTCGTCGAGCGAGCGTGTTCACATTAGCTCGACTCTTTCGGCTTGCCATCGTCACCCCGGCCATAGCTGAATTGGCCCTGTTTGCGGATCACTCCCGTGGCAGCCACCGCCTCCACGGCTTTTACACGTAAACAGAGACAAAACATCGGAGTCAGAGCTCGTCGACAATCCACGCGGCGCCGATTTCCGCTTCGGAATCTATCACCCGCGCGATTTTCTAGCTCAACGATGTTCAACCGATCTCTTAGCTTCGGGCGAGCTAGTTCAATTGGACATGAAGACTGAAATAGCAACTTTTTCACCGTGGTTCTAAGGACGAGTTGAACATCCCTGGTCTAGCTGCACGATCGAGAGACACTGGGACGGGTTTCTAGGTGGAGAATCTATTGGCAACCTCGCGAGAGCCGACTTGTTAGTCTTGCCGAGCACGGAACACGCGTGGATCGACGAGTCCGACTCCCAATTAGTGGTTTCTGGTCGAGAGACTCCTTGGAGATTGCTTGAAGCCTGCTGCTCTGTTAGTGCATTTAGAATTTCCCTTTCCGAGCTCCCCTTGACGCTGCGATGATTATTACTGTCCCTTTAATTTAGGCACTGTTAGAAAAGCACAGTAACAAATGAGAAGTCGCAGAGAATGAAGAATGAGAAAGAGGATCGATCTGAAGTGTGTGAGACGCTCGAATGGATCGATGCAGAGTTAACATGTCCGGATGAAATGATCGCAGATTTTAAAATGACCAGCGAACGATTAGATCGATGAGGTGTTTCGTGAAATGAACTTTCGTCCCCGAAAGTGGCTGATGGGCCGAAGACATCCTCGTGAAATGACAGCGAACAGCGTGCAAGCCGCAGATGAAATGCGATGAGATGAACACGTAAGAGAAATTGAATAGAACGGTTTCTTTTCTTCGGACGGAAAACTGATGACGGGGATGAAGAAAAAGAGAGCAAGATAAGAGACGTTCGAGGCTAACGAGAGCAACCGGGCGCCATTGTCTCGCCACGGTTGACGCAGGTTCGTCGAACCGTGCTCTGTCGCTGAAAAGAAATTCAATGTGACTGGTGCCGCTTATCCACGAGCACTCTTCGTGGCTCGCCGAGGACCCGAAGGCAGCTAGTTTCGATCTACCAGCTCGTGCGGTTCGCTGCTTCTACTCCGAACATCGGAGGCCGAAGTATTTACAGGAGGTGGGAGCTGCTCGATGAACGTTCGCGCGAGATTCTACGAAGATGAACTTGGAGAAACTAATCGAACAGGTGCATCGTAACTAGACTGAGGATTTTTCAGTATTATACGGCACGTGCCAGTTCGAAAAATGCGAATATGCCAAAATTGATCGCGGTCTTACTTTATGATCATCGCAGGAAATCTTTCAAGTGTATTATAATTAGATTGCAGATCTTTGCAATCTAATTAGATTGCAGATCTTTTTTACTGCTATCATTTAACGTGGAAGTGTGAAAAAGGCATGTATATGAAACTTAATTGCACTCTCTTAATTTATGTTCATCCCAAGAAAATCGTTCAACCGTATTATAACTGGATTGCAGGTTTCTCTGCATTCATTTAATGTCGAATTGCGAAAAATGAATGTAAATCAAAATGAATCGCATTTGTACTGTATATTCATTCCAAGAGATCTCCCGACTGTGTCATAATTAAGTTGTGTACTTTTCTGCGTTCACGGTATGCGCTTGTTTGAAAAACACATATCAAAAAAAATGATTTGCATCGCTGCTTCAGGTTCAGCGCAAGAAACCTGCCAAACGAAGCAAGAAGTGTTTCCCTTCTTCGCACGTGCATAAAGTAACGCACGAAGACGAGAACTTACGATAAAAATCCGCAATCAAATTATAACGGTTCCGCAATTTTTTATCGCTGAGAATACGCATAAATTTCTCCACAATATAATTGCAGCGTTCTGCTTCGTCGAGTAGCTCCCGCTGGTGTCTACAATGTGGATCCAAGGTACGTGCAACACATCGAAATTACCGTGATAGAATCAGCAGGCTGCAAGGTTGCATAGCCACTGGCGGTCTCCTAGAGGGTAACGCCCCTACTGTCTACCACGACTAACCATGCAACGGCTACGTGCAGCTAATGGACAAAGGTTGTGATAGCGTGTTTCATTACTAGCTTCGAATGTCGGCCGCGCTCGAAGTAATTGTAACGCAACAGTACGCAACAGAGCGCGGTGGCAACAACAACGGTGGGAGGGGGAGGCTGGGGGGGACCGACGCGACGTGTGACATAAGAACAACAGTCGCGAGGCTGTTTCGGTTGTTCCGAATCCCCTTGGACTACGGGATAATACGGTACAGGGTGTCTCGAAATTATTGTGTAAGCGAGAAATGAGGGGTTCCTGAGGTCATTCGAAGTAACTTTTTCCTTAGCGGAAATGCAATCCGCCGCTTCGTTTACGAGTTATTAGCGAAAAACCGNAGCAAGAAGTGTTTCCCTTCTTCGCACGTGCATAAAGTAACGCACGAAGACGAGAACTTACGATAAAAATCCGCAATCAAATTATAACGGTTCCGCAATTTTTTATCGCTGAGAATACGCATAAATTTCTCCACAATATAATTGCAGCGTTCTGCTTCGTCGAGTAGCTCCCGCTGGTGTCTACAATGTGGATCCAAGGTACGTGCAACACATCGAAATTACCGTGATAGAATCAGCAGGCTGCAAGGTTGCATAGCCACTGGCGGTCTCCTAGAGGGTAACGCCCCTACTGTCTACCACGACTAACCATGCAACGGCTACGTGCAGCTAATGGACAAAGGTTGTGATAGCGTGTTTCATTACTAGCTTCGAATGTCGGCCGCGCTCGAAGTAATTGTAACGCAACAGTACGCAACAGAGCGCGGTGGCAACAACAACGGTGGGAGGGGGAGGCTGGGGGGGACCGACGCGACGTGTGACATAAGAACAACAGTCGCGAGGCTGTTTCGGTTGTTCCGAATCCCCTTGGACTACGGGATAATACGGTACAGGGTGTCTCGAAATTATTGTGTAAGCGAGAAATGAGGGGTTCCTGAGGTCATTCGAAGTAACTTTTTCCTTAGCGGAAATGCAATCCGCCGCTTCGTTTACGAGTTATTAGCGAAAAACCGTGACCAATGAGAGGCGAGATCAGCTGACGCGAGGCGGCCGAGCCAACAAGTTCCTCCCAGTTCCGCTGATTGGCTCGGCTGCCTAGCGCTAGGCGAGCTCGCCTCTCATTGGTCGCTGTTTTTCGCTAATAACTCGCGAACGAAGCCGCGGATCGCATTTTCGCTAAGGAGAAAGTTACTTCGAATGATCTCAGGAACCTCTCACTTCCCGCTTGTACAATAATTTTGGGGCACCCTGTAGTATGCGGTTCTCGGATCGAGCGAGTAACGGAACACAAAGCTGCGCGACCAAGGTGATACTCATGAGGGAGAGAGAGAGAGAGAGACGTGTGGTAACAATGTTGCGCTCGAAGGAGAAGGTTGGGTTACCTCTTGGCTCGTGGCCGTAGTAACTCTGGCGACGGGCACCTGAGGGGGCAACAAGAAAGTGTCAAGCGTTAGTTGACGGAATTGGGGCTCGTTAGAGTTTCGAGTGAGTCTAGAGTGCCTCGACCCAGCGCGAGGAGGAGAGGACCGCGACCAGGCTGCGGGGACCGAGACGATACGCGAGACCGTTTCGCGACGATATCGCGCACCGAAAAAACATTCTCTAATCTGCTCCGAATTAACCGGGGATGGTCTTGCGAGCACCAGGTGCGCAGATTCATTGGTGGCTCTCGTTGTCGATGAGTTAACGAGTCAAAAGCGTCTGTCCTTCGAGAACGGACTCGAGATGGAAGCGATGGGCAAACTGCGGATCTTTATGCAAACTAAAACTTAACAATTGACTAAATCTTAACAATTGAGTGAGTTAGAATTACGGTGGCATAAATCACGCTTTTCGCATCGTAAGAGACAGGAAGTGTTAACATTTACTAGCATGTGTATTATTTACTTAATTTATAGGAATCTTATAATTTGTTTCACTCGTCTTTTTAATACTTTGGTATGTACAGACTATGTTTTAAAACGTAAAATTTCGAAAATGTGAATGTTCTGTGGGAAATATTCTAGATCGAATAAAATCTCATCGAAGAAGCTTCTGTGAATCCTCCTGCTAATGAAGATTTGCATCGTTTTAGAAGAGATATGTGCAGCAAATAATTTCAAGAAAATTTGAACGGTACATCGATGATCATCAATTATTTTAATTTGCCCTCTGTATTAAATCGTCTCGTCCCGTTTTCGTCATGAATTGCATAAAATCCGCAGTCGATCGGCGTACATCGCTTCCGGATATTGCTTCGTTCGCCGATAGAAAAAAAAAGGGAAAACAAAGAGCAGTTCACGAATCGGAAGTTTGCACACCCAGCACAGTCGCAAAGATCTGCTAACTGTTCTCCGATCAGTAGCGACTCCATTCTCCGCGATAATGAAACCCACGTAGAGTATCTGTACGTCGAAACATTCAGCTATCCGATCGACGACAGTGCCCGACAGCGAGCTGGCCAGAAAGATACCTGATGTGACGCGAGGTGTCAGCGCGTCGACGGGTGCGTCGGGCGCGGGGATTGGTCTCGCGACCGTCGCGATTACAGGTGGATGCGTGGCCCTCCAATAGGCTTCCAGGTACTCGGCCACGTGGTCGCAGGCATCCTCCAGCTGGTTCTCGTCGAGGATCACGTCGAACATGTCCGCGGGACAGTGGGCCAGCTTCTCCGCCGCCATCATTTGTACGTTCATGTTCTTCACTTGCGACTTGCCGCGCGACTTGATCAGCCTCTGCAGCACCTTCGGCGTCGTGATCTTCAGGTAGACGATCGTGGGGGCTAGACTGGTCTTCCGTAGTTGCGACGGGTGGTTTATGGTGTCGCAGTCCAGCACCACCAGCTGAAACAGGGCCAGAGTCAGCTCTGAACATTGCGAAGGGTCCTAGGCTATGTCAGGATACAACCTCGTTTCGATCGAAATTTCTACGAGGGCCTGACTTCTAATAAATAATAAATAATAAATAAATCTCTAATAAAAAATAGACCTCTAACAAATAATAAAGACTAGCAGTCTGCTGGTCTCAGTTCCCCATTGTCGAGGAATTAAGTAGGAGAAATATGGTCGAGAGATCACAACTCGATTGCCGAATGTCTGAACGGGGAAAGCTATGAACCGAGACTAAGTTTGAGGACCTTGAAAATAGTAGAGATCTAGAAAGATCCATAGAAAGGTAGCAGTTACCTGGAGAGTCCTGGCAAGCTCGAAAATCCTCTCGATCTCAGTCTGCACCACCGCGAAGCCGTCGCTGTTGGTCGACCGTTCCATGATCGCCCTCTTCGTCGGGTTGTTCAACAAGGACCTCTTGGCTAACGATATATCGACCGCTACCCTGGTGATAATTATCCTGCAACCACGAAAGATCGTCTGCAACTTCCTTTCGGGACTCGTACCATCGCAGAAAATCACGGAGGCTTCCTCTAACCTGCCCTCGAACCGATGCTTCAGGAAGTTGAACAACGCCTTCTGCATCATGTCCGTGACCTGATAACCCTTCAGCGAAGGACCCACCAGGACCACCGGCCTCATGGAAGGTACGACGTCATACGGCGCTGGTGTCTCCTGGAAAACGGAGGCTGGAGTCAGTGGGATCGAGGATCGAGGGGAGACCCACTCGCCCCAGGATCAGCCCCAGGATAGTCTCACTTACGTAGGACTTCGTGAGCACGGAATGCAACATTGAAAACATTGAAAACAGTTAATGGCCACTCGTTTGAATCGAGACATGCGACCTACCCTCCTGCACGGCCAAAGGACCTTCCAGTACGGGCATTATGTCTTCAGCATCCAAAGGCGCTTTGGCCAAGCAGTGTGTATTCGTCAACTAACGCTATCAACGACCTCCTACGGACTATCGTCTAGTCTACCGATCCGGAGAACCATTTTCTTTTTTTTCGTTCGGGTACAGAGCAAGGATTTACTCCGAAGTCGTCCCAAAAGCGTCTCTTTCGTCTTTGCGCGAGAGCAGCCTTTTGACCCCTTGCACTACGATTTCTCTCGCGACTGTACTAAGCACTTTTCCGAGGGATCGTTCTTGGACCTTGATAGCAGAAGAATCAAATATTGCTCTCATATTTAGAGCGAACGAATAATATTCGTATTTAGTAGATTACGAACTTCGAGTCTGACACGTTGCTATAGTGCAAGGGATCGGCGAAGCAAATCGGCGCGGCTAATTAAGCGAGATCCGAAGAAATACTAAATAGCACGTTTGTCAAAAGAACGAACGTGTGGTTTTTGGGACGACCGAGTCTTTCGGCTCTGCGGCTGGCAGGTGCCTGGGAACCGAATGTTCCTCTTGTTCGAATTATTGGAACACGTGGCCGGTCTAGCTAACGCCACATGACACTCTATTAACCTACTTGCGGTGTCCCCTGCCTGTCAGGCGTCTAAATCTTTGCTCTGCCTCTAGATTTCGGCGGCCCACGTCTTTGATAATGGTGTTAGCCAGAAAAATGGTTCGCTCGGAGCACACAGTTGGTCCGAGTTGTTCTGTCCGATTGAACATGCTATCGCAATTATCGTTCGTAACTATCGATAAACCTCGTCGGGGGACTTTTTCGCTCGATTGCTTTCAATTAGTACGTAACGCGGGCAAAACTGTAATTTGCATGAAGACCGGCGGTGTTTCGATCGACCATACGACCAACTGTGCGAATCCACGGCAATTATCGATCGATGCTAGAAACCGCTACTCACATCGACACCTAACTGACACACAAAGTAGAAAATACGTTTGTTCTCCACCTGTTCGTAGAGCAGCCATCGGGCTCGAAACGATTCAGTGCGCCAGCGAAGCAGAGAGGGATGAAGAGGAGGCAGAAGAAGAAGAAAAAAAGAAGTAATAGTAGTAGTAGTAGTAGTAATAGTAGTAGAAGCGATTCTGCTTGGTACGACAATCGTTGAAAGCACGCGCGAAATTATTACATAAACTCGCCTCGAGAGTTACGAGGTCCCGAGTGCTCGCCCGTCGTACTTTTTCAACAAATACACGATGCAGAGAGCTTACAGACCCACACACACAGCCGCAGATTATACTCACAGAAATAAATCTGCTAGTCCTCGCGTGGCCCACGATATTTTCTAGCACCGACTGATAAATTTAGACGCGAAAGCCTCGTTCACGTCAATGGGCGCTATCGCGGGCGTGCCGAATCTTTGCCAAATCCGCGGGAAAATCTTCCCTTGGATCGTTCCGGAGCGTGGCGGCGTCGTAAAACTAGTATACGGCTTGTACACGGTGTCAACGAAGCGATAGTTAGCCGTGCTAGACGTTCGATCGTTGACAATCGAATGGCTCCACCGAAACTTCCATTACCATAGAGCATGGCGTCTCTCTCTTTTTATATCGTACTTAAGAGGAAGCCTTTATTAACCCATACGTCCGAAGCCGACTGTCCGATGAAGTTCAGGTTTGGCAGAATATTTTAGCCGACGATTTCACCGCGAACTTCTATGCAAAATAGAAATTCATCGGATTAATCGCAAGAAATAGAAACTGTATAGCAAGTTCATTCCTTCTTTAATCACTTTAATAGATCAAGAATAAGGCATTGACGTTTTTTAAATATTTTTATCTATCTCCTGTTTTAAATTACGATCACCCAATTTTGTTGTAAATGCATAAAATCTGCAGTCTAATCACATAATCATTGTCAAAAGGTGCTAAACAAGATGTACTAAGAGATGACCAAGGAAACTTTCCCAACAATTACATTCGAACACCTAATCATTGACGAATTGTCCACATTTTTTGTCCAGCTTTTTAAAGTTCATAGAATGACAACATTTGAGAGAGAAAACGGCTGTCACCGCGGAACTTCTGACCCCGTTGATAAGTTAAAATAATAATACAGTATCTCTAGTCGCGGAATAGCCATTGCTTCTTGACACCCTGCCACGAGTGAATTTAGGGTATCGTGAACGAGACTCCGCGGCCCGCTTCGTCCAGCCGACGACTATCAAAAAAGCTAGAGATATCGAAAAGTGTGATCGGCACGTTCAAGTGTACACAAAGGATCAGAGCGTGGTCGCAGACACTGCGGACCCGTCGAGATCGTTTACCGGCTTCTTGAAGAAATGCACCCGCTTCTCCTTGGTTGACGGTGTGGTCAAGGTCGCCTTCCCTCCCCGCACGTTGCACACGCTGTCGCAGTCGTCACCTGTCGAGGAGACAGAGCCGCGATTAATCGGTAGACACTCGAAATCCTGTGCGACGATCAGTGTCCCTCTTTCTCTCAAGGTAGCTAGTGAGAAGCTTCAGAAACGCGATGCAATCTAAGTACCTAGGGTAACTAAGTCGATGCACTGATCCCGTCATCACAGAAGCGACTACTAGTGCCCGGACTGATACCGAATCGACGTCGGCCGACGCTTGAAACCGATTCGAGTGGGACTCGTCCCGCTGCCTATCGATAGATCAATACGGATACCGTCCCAGCTTTTTCCAAGCACTCATCCGCTGCTCAATTTGCGATCGGCCAGTGTTCCACATTTCGTTCGTCGAACCGATTTCCAAATCTGCGTTTGTTACTCGACGAAATTGCGATGAGAATTAGCAAACGGTGTCTGATAAAATAGTCGATGTCTTGGCTACTTTAAATTTGTGTAAGGTCTTGTAACAGTCCGCGATTTTAGGCAAAAATTTACAGCATTTTGCAACTTGGTGAATTTTGTAACATCGTTCAATTATATGCAAATTTTATACCATTATGCAACTTTGCGAATCTGATAGCATTGCCAGACTTTATGGAAATTCACCATAAGAATACCGTTCTGCAATTTTGTGAATTTTATAGCATTGTTCAATTTTTTTGCAATTTTATACCATTCTGCAACTTTGCGAATCTGATAGCATTGTCAGACTTTATGGGAATTCACCATAAGAATACCATTCTACAACTTTGCGAATCTGATAGCATTGTCAGACTTTATGGAAATTCATCATAAGAATACCATTCTGCAACTTTGTAAATTTTATAGCATTGTAAAACTTTATGCCAATTTTTTACCATTCCGCGACTTTGTGTATCTGGTGACATTGATAAACTTTATGGAAATTTTATACCGTTCTGCAACTTCGTGAATTTTATAGCATTGTTCAATTTTATGCATTTTGCAACTTTGTGAATCTGACAATATTGTTCAACTTCATGGAAACTTTATACCATGCTGCAACTTTATGCAAATCTTATATAACTCTGCAACTTTGCCCAGATCCTTTCAGTTGCAACTATTTTACAGAAATTATGATAATATTTTGAAACTTTATGGAGATTATAACATCCTGCAACTTTGTATATATTATAATATTCTCAAAGTTTCTATGAAGATCTTATACATTCTCTAACTTTGTGTAAAATGTTACAAGTAAACTGCGGATTTTTATGCAAAATAAAAATTGTTATCATTAATTACAAGATGAAGAAACTACGTAACATAATAATTTCAATGAGTTGACAATAATACAACAATATTTTCAAATTGTTCTAATGTTCTGGTATTTTACATTTGATTTATTATTTTTTATCTTAAATCCATAAAATCTATCTCACGTAAAACATCACAATTGCCTGCAACTTTGTGTGAAATTTGACATTCTCTATGTGTTAATTTTAAAGGACGAAACTTTTACTTGCATATATCTGATCTTATTTTTTAGCAGCTTCCTATTTTCACGACGAATTACAAATACTCGATTCGGTATCATTCCCATTACTAGCAACTACGAAATATTTTGTTACAGCGGTACTAAAGTGTGTCACGGACCTGTGTATGTGTAGGGCGTGTATCGAACTGGTGTGGTGAATAGCGATGGGCATAACCGTAGCCGAATTCGCGTGAATCAGAAGCAAAGGACAGTCGGCGCTAAGATCAAGCGTGATTGGACCACTAAGAATTCGCTCGAACTTTATCGCTATTTCAGACTCACTCTTTTTGTCAAAATTACAATCTCGAGAAAATTTCTTGCTGGTCCAACCGACGATAACTAAAGTCCCTATGCTAACTGTCTATGCCGACCGTCACTTACCGAGCAACTATTGGGTGTGCAAATTAATTCTTGACCTTCGCAGTTCATCAACTATAGCTTTCATTTAAGCAACGTAACTAAACACAAAAAACACGATGTCGTCTGTTAAACAGTATCGCACACTTTTTGAGGTACTATCGCCGAGGCTAAATGATCATCTTTACTACAAGGGACGTACAATAAATTTTGTTATAATACAAAGCAATAATAATAATATAATATATAAAAAAATATAATATAAAAAATATAAAAAAATAATAATATATATAATATAATAATACTAAACAATATAGTTATACATAAATTACAATAAAAGTTCACAATGCATATCAGAATTGAGATCAAGTCAGCTGATCTACAAAAATCTCTATTGAACGAATTTTAAAACGATTCGAAAGCTGCTATTATTTGAATCTGATCAGTTATCTACAAAATGTCAGAAAGATGTTCGAACAGCCAGAAATAAACTTGCACGCCTAATAAAAGGGCAAATATTGTTGAAGGTTGGTGAAAGAAGCTCGCGTGTGTGAAGAATGAAAGCTACAGTGTGTGTTTGTTTGTTGCGTGTGTATGTGTTTTGATGTTCTCAGAGATACTTAAGGCCAGAAGCGCACAAGAGTGTTCAAGGTATCGGTCTTTCGCTCGCATTTCTTTATTTTTTTTTTTATGTATATTCTCTGACTATTGTGTCCGCCGGAGAAACGATTCCCTCCGCTCTGTATTCGCTGTCGTTGCGTCGAACCGGTCGAGATGAGAGGTTATCCCGTAATCGGCACGAGACACCGTGACGCTTGTCGGGGCGGGGAAAGAAAGAAGGACGTGCTAGGATACCTGGTGTAGGTGGTGTGGAACCACGTGAGGGCATACCACTCTCGCCAAGGTTCCCTGAAGACCCTCCGCGCGCAGAGTGGAGGCTCTTGGTGCCGCGCGCAGCGCTCGCCTGCTGCCTCAGGGCCTCCAACTTCACCGGTGATGGGATGAAACCGACGTCCGAGTTCTCTTTCACGAGCCTACCTATCCACCAGTTGTTGTCGTACTTCTCCTGTACAAGAGAACACCGCGATCGTTAACCTTTGAACCGGCCGGGTCCACCTGGCCGTGGGACCCAGGTGTCTGGGACCCCCTTTACGCGTTGGGCGATGCGTCGGTCGTATATGCGTCACGCTAATTTTTTAACCAGCCTTTGAAATTTATGTTCATTGTAATACATCGGAGACGTTTAGAATGCACGAGAGTTAAGCTAATATTTCTTATGGCAAATTTGGCGAAGGTTGCTGTTCGGTTACCTTGATGTGCAGAAAGTCGCGGACGTTGAAGCTGACTGCCAAGCCATGCACCGGCGAATCATCGTCCACGGATCCGTCATAGCTCACGTTGGTCCGCACTGCAAACGCTACCGGTTTCGTCTGAATAATTCAAACAGGTCTATATTAACAACGTAATATCTGATAATTTGCAGCATCGATTTATCAGTCTCGCGATGCATGAGAAAGATTCGGGAAATGCTCTACAACGATTACTTCCCGATATTTGTTTCTGAATCGCGGATTTTTTTATGCAGAATAAAAGCGATCTTCATCGATTGCGACATACATAAATCAAATAGCTTGCTCTCTTTAATATTTTTTGTTATCTAATGTCAATGCTTAAATGCTTCTAGTACTTTTCATTGTTTCAAATTTCACCAATCCATTTTTTTTCGTTAAAGTATAACATTCGCAGTCTTCAATAATCACGAACTAATTCAAGAAACCAAATGATCTCTTTACGAAAATTAACTGCGAATTTTTATACAAAATTAAGACCTTTTACATCGGTCGTAAAGCCACAATGTTTAGAATTTCGCGTTAAATCTCGCCTCCTCCTTTTTATCGCAGATGCACGCCGCGTTTTCGTTCGGCTTCTGACAATCGACGCGGACAATGTTTGCATAAAGATTCGCGGAGTCACTGCATCAACGACAGATGACGTCGCAAGGTCCGTCGATCACGATGTCGACATACTTATTTGGTAATGCCACGGTCCATTAAAAACGTAGCACGCGCGCAACCGTAACGTAAGCGTAAAATAAAAGACAGTGAGATCACGGATGGCTGACACGTTGTCAGCGCGGTCTGGTGAGCCAACTCGCCCCCTCAATAAAGAATAAGAGCGTGACGAATCGACGGAGCAGCTGATCGTATTCATTACATTGCCGTACGCCTCGATCAATAACAACGTGAACAAATTTGTCCAGCGTTGCAAATACTATCGCGCGTAATTCACATTTTCTCGACGAGAAAACGAACGAAACAAATCGATACTAATCTTCGGAACATTTTACAAGATCTTCAATTCTTTCTTGATGCTCTCTGATTCATGATAAATCCGTGTTTCGGAAGATCGAGGTTTGGCGAAAACATGAATCATTGCTGAAT